AAAAATCATTTGATCATGTATGCAAAGGTTTACTTTTGGGCTCTCTATTCTATTCCATTTGCCTGTATGTTTGTCTTTATACATCACACTGTTTTGATTATTGTAGATTTGTATTAAGTTTTGAAATAAAAAACTGTGAGTCTTCCAGCTTTCCTCTTCATTTTCAAGATTATTTTGGCTATTTGGAGTCCCTGAGATACCATATGATCAGCCATAAGGTACTGTTAGGCTCATGCTAGCAGTGGAGAAGTTAATATAGAGATGGATGAGGAGTTACAAAAGTCATCACACAAATGTTAGAGAAAAGTAGATACGTGGATTCTCTCCCACCCCATAATCACCCGTACTTCCAAGAAATGTGCAGTTTGGGGAAGGGGAACCTCCTGCACTGTTATAGTGTTTTGCTTCTACCTATATTACCTGGAGCAAAAAACAAATAAACAAACAAAAAAATAAATAGAAAAAAGGAAAGAAAGAAAAGGAAAAAGAAGAGAAAAGGAAAAAGAAAAGAAAAGAAAGTACTCCTTTAATAGGAATTCAGTGACAATGTTATGGCCTGGGGCAGAACTCACAGATCTGCCACAACCAGAACTATGATTACGTTCTGAGTCTTTGAAATCTGTTCTGCTCATTACCCACCCCCTGTGCAGGGGCTTTGTGGTTCCCAGAGACCAAGAAAAAGAACCATCAGTCAAACAATTACCAGCACTTTCAACTTGACCATCTTGAGAGGTAGGTGGAGGTCAGAGTCCTGGGGCTGGAGGTGTGAGCCTGTGAACACTTTCATCTGTGGCTTGGTTGGTTGAGTTCCCTATTCAAGTCAGGTGCTCAGATCATGCCAACACTATTCTTCTATAGAAAAAATTATTGTTCTTATTGTTCAAATGGGAAAACTGAGACAGAGAAAGATGACATGTATGGACACCATGTCCCTACAAATGTGATACCCCGAGAAGAGCACTTTGTATTGTCTATGTAGTATTTCCACTGACAATGCATAACCTGAGTCTAATTATGAAGAAATTTCAGACAAACCCGAAATAAGGAATGTTGAATTGAAAAGAAAGATGGGCTGTATTTGTATCTTCAAAATTTTCAATGTCATAACAGAGAAAGGACATTATTGGGTGAATTATAAAATGGAATACTGATGGTAGGTTAGATAAAAGTATTAATGTTAAATTTACTGAAGTCGACTGTTTAACTATGGTCATGTAAGACAATGTTCTTTTTATCAATACTCACTGAAGTATTATTCCTAAACAAAGGCCATGATATACAACCCTTGAGAGAGAGAGAGAGAGAGAGAGAGAAACACAGAGAGAGAGAGACAGAGAGGGAGACAAAGAGACAGAGAGAGAGAGAGAGAGAGAGAGAGAGAGAGAGAGAGAGAGAGAGAGAAGATAATTAGGAGAAAATTCTTAAAACGGGTGAATCTGAGCAAATGATATTCAAACGCTCTGTGTACCATTCTTACTCTTGTAACTTCAACATTATTTCCAAATAATAGTATTTAAAAAGTTAAAAGCAACCCATTTAAGGGTTCATGTGCCTTAAATTTTATTTTTCTATTTTATTTTTTTTTACATATACCAAAAATAGAATAAGTTTAGCACTTCTAAAGAGTTTTGCACCTTTTAAAATGTCTCTAAGTAATTGTGCCTGCTTTTGAACATTTGAAGGGATTTCAGCCAATTCATGTAGGTTATCTTTTGCTTGATCAAAAACATTGAAGCAAAAATACTTTGAGGGAAAATTGGTTACTTGCAGGAAAAGAGACAGTTATTCCACTGTGACCATATAATTCATGGTATCCAAACTTCTTTGTCTTTGCTTCTTTTATCTTCCCTTCTGCTTGGCTTAGTAGTGCGAATCACTAGTTTGGGAGTGAAATAGTACTTTTTGAACAGACTTAACCTCCTCCTTCAGAACCCCAAATCTCACTACCAATGAGCTGCCTAGAATAATAGCAAGCATTTATTTTATATACTGTTCCAGACCCTAGACCCTCTCTTATTTTTTCTCCTTCATATTGACCTTCATCTATTATTATGTTATGTATCTTATTTATTGTGTGTCCCCTTTATTCAACTATAAGCTTTATGAAGGTGAAGATTTTTCTCAGCTTTGTTCATTACCATATTCTCAGTGTTTAGAAGAGTGCCTGGGTTATAGTAGTCATTTAATATAAGTATTTGTGAGACAAATAAATATAGGACAGATGAATGAAGGATAGAACCTCACCCACTCACCAGAATTAATTCTAAATAGATTAAATAGTTTTTAAAAAAAGATCACAACTAAGTCAATGAAATTAAATAACTTTCACTCCTCTGGAGATGAAAACAATCTGAGCTTAATAATAATAATAATAGCCAACATTTATTTTGCGCATTCTGTGTGCCAAGTCTCATGCTCAGTGCTTCACATATTTAACATTTGCAATGTGGATACTAATATCACCCCAATGTTACAGATGGGGGGAATCTGAGGCTCTGAGACATTAGATGGTTGGCTAATCATATGTAATAAGCTAAATGTGTTGGGGTTGGGTTTCAAGCCCAGGTCTCTGTGACTCCAGTGCCCAAGATTTTTGTCCTTTGTCCTGTACTGTACGAACAGTCTTCATTATTGTATCAAATGGGAGAGAATGTCCCTCTTATGGTGAGACAAAATGTGTATCCTGTTGGCAGAATAAACCAATCTTTGTGGAGAAAAAACTGGCAACAACTGTGTATGGTTCGAAATAGGCAGCATCCTTTACCCAAGACTCCCAGTGTGACAAATCTGTGCTCTGGAGCTAATTATGCATTTAACCAAATTTTAGTTTCAAGAAAGTTCCCAATGACATTTGCCCCCTACCCCAGGAGAGAGAAATCACAAAGTTTCAGGTGTGTTATGATTAACAGGAAAATATTAATGATATGTGTAACTAGTGTGTTGGGAAAATATTCATGGGGAGTTTTACAGGTAATATGTTGAAAGGCTTGTTCTTTGTCTTATTTAAAATTATTCAGAAGAGCTACTTCTTTTCCTGTCTCTGTATGAAAACTTGGGTATAGAACTTGATTTTTCTAAACACTGCCTAGATTTAGAATATATAAAAACGGCTAGGCCCATGCAATAGTCAAAACACTAAGCCTGAATTCAAATTGTGGGCTTCTCCCACATGTAGAAACTCTGAAGTTGAGGAAGAGAGTGGTCGGTTTCCTCACTCTCTCCTTTCCTCCTGCAGCTGGCTAAGTGCCATTTTGGAGGTGGAGGAGGGAGAAGAGGTAAGGGGGTCCAGATAGCTCTTTTTGGCAGGTAGTATTGTACTTTCGTATATGTGCTTTCTGGGCTTAGTATTGCTTCAAATGAACTCTGTTGTGGGTAGTTTTCTAGGTCCTCTGAGTGTCTCTCCAATCCAACTGATGGAAGGTTCTCTCAACATGGCCGAATCCAGTTCCTTTCTATCTGGTCTATTGCAATTCCTTTCCTAGACCATAGGGATGTGGCCACTCACCTTCTACTTCCTTATCTGAGGTCCCAGGCGGCCTGCTTGGAATAATCTAGCACAAACCCACACTGGGTTTCTTGCATTCTTTGCCCTATCAAATTAGTGCAAGTGGTAGCCTCTTTCTTGTGGCCATAAAGGTCACTTCAGCTGGCCTCTTATTCTTTTGTGTTCTCAGGCATGACTCAGGCATCTACCTACTGTGTCTCTGCAAACCCTTGGGGGCACATACAAAGCTCAACGGGAGGTATCCTGACAGCCTTTCTGGTGACTTGGAATTAAGAGACTTTGCACTAAGAAAGCACCTCATTCTTTAAAGGAAATCTGCTCAAAGATGTCCAGAACATATGTCAAATTCCTGACCATTTTCCACCTTTAAAACAAATAAAGGTTTTAAGAGTCCCTTAACCACTTTTTAGCCATCTTTCTCTTTCTCTCTCTCTCAAGCTCACTGTAGGGTTTACCCACAGATCTTGGCCAAAACTTTCATTTTAATATCATATTACAAATTTTTAAATAAAAAATCAAGATATGTAACAGCAAGCCTCATGCGATTTCAGTTTTATAAAAACAATTCATATCCATATAGATGCACATTTGAAAGACTAACACTCCAATATAGTGGGATTGCAAGAAATATTTCATTGTCTTCTTTGTATCTTTTTATATTTTGAGAATTTTGTAAGCTGAATTTTAATGATCTTTTAAAAAAATTTATTTATTTAAATTAGTTTCAAATATACAGTACATTGGTTAGACGTCTATATAGTTCATAAAATGATCCCCCCAATTGCTTCCTCCCTCCCCTGGCCCTCTACTTAGCCATCATATTAATGCTAACTGCATTCTTTATGCCATGCTCCCCATCCCCGTGACCAACTATCGACTACTAATTTGTACTTCTTTAACCCTTCACCTCATCCTCCCAGCCCCCCAAACCTCTCCCCTCTGTCTATCACCAAACTATCCACTATATTTGTGAGTCTGTTGTTGATTAGTTTGTTCTTGAATGATCTTTTAATCAAGGAAAGACAAAACATTTTAAAAAATTGTTTTTCCTGGCTGTATTGATATATAATAGACAATTCAATGAGGTTGTTTTTTTTTTTTTTTCAGTTATAGTTGGCATACAATAACATACCAGTTTCAGTTGTACAACCTAGTGATCAGAGATCCACTAACTTGCAAAGCAGTCACCTCACTAAATCTAGTACCCCGCTTCCCCTTACATATTTATTACATTATTAACCATCTTCCGGGCAACAAATTTTAAAATAATTTTGTTTTTCTACTAAAGGGAGGCCTGAAGCGTGAGATGGAGAGATATTTTTTAGCAAAGCCAATATTCAGCTGAGGTGGAGGGCAAGGAGGAATAATTAGAAGACAAAATGTAAAGAAATTCTCTAAGCAACTTTCTCTTGCTTCACAACTCTATTTGTATCTCTTGATCTCTAGCAGCAACTAGAAAGAGAAAAACATCCTGACAATCTATATTCAGACACATATGGTTGGCATCATGAAGCTCTGGACATCTCTACTCATGACATTCCTCTGTATGGAACTACTGTCTGTGCTGGGAGGAGTTAAGGAAAATCGAGTCCCAGGTGACGAGGCTGGGTTGGGGACAAAAGGTGGGGAGTTGTTGTGCTTGTTCCTGGACAAGTAAAAGGATATTTTGTCTGGCACATCTGATTCAGGACCCACCTTCCCTGGGCCACCTATTGGAGAATTACAATCTTTTTATGCACAGGGATCCAAGAAATTCCCAAGTTGAGGTCCTTTAATGCTTCCTCTTCCAACCTTGAAAGTGGTAATGAGTATCTATTTACTTTTATATACATTCTATAGGTTATAAAGTTATAATATTTCCCCAAGTCAAGCTACTTTGTATGGCGGAGCACCAATACAGAGCTGCTTATCTTCTTATACTCCCAGAAGCTCTGCATCTTAACTATGTGTACTTTGATGAGTACTAAAAGGATATTTCTTAATATATACCCTTAGTTTTAGTGGCAGAATATTTCAGAATGTGAAAAGATGGAAAAGAGATGAGATGAGTCCCTAGTGGGGCAAAATTGGGGGCCACATGATAAGAAAAAAAGAATCAATGGAGAGAGCCAAGAAAATTGAGTGAGAGAGATAAGAATTTAGAGAAGCTGAGTTAATAAAGGCAGGGTCAGCAAAGGGGGATTGGGGAGACGAGAGAAAACCTATTCCTTACTCTTCCTGGTCTAGCTTCCCACACTATGAAATAGGTGTGGTAATGAGGCTAGAGGATATCTCAGGCCCTGAGATCTCCTGTTATATAAATGTAGATTTTATAGAAAGCACATGAAGGCTGGAAGTTCACTGGTTCCTATTTCTAGGATGCTCAAAGAAAACCCAAAGACCTGCAATAAGAGTAGGACCTATGGGAGCAGAGAAGGCAAAGAGATCAGTGAAGATATAATGAGGAGGCTCAGGAAGTGGGGTTTCTTATAAGGCAGATAGATATCTTGGTGGGTACTTGGGGCTCAGATTCTCAGAGGGGCTGTTAAGCTTATGAAGGGCTTCCCTTCCCACGCTTGTCAGCCTCTTCCATCTCATCTCAATTTCAGGGGATGAAAGACTCATTGAGGAGTGCTGGGGAAGTCCAAATATCCGGGACTGTGCCAAGAAGTGTAGTACCACCTTGAAATGTGGAAACATGAATCGCACATGCTGTTGGACCTATTGTGGAAACATCTGTTATAAAGCTATAGTGAGTTGGGAGGTGTGCCCTTGGCCAGGTGTTGTCACTGATTCTCAGCCTCTTCTCAAGTGCTGTTATTCATAAACAGAAGACTGATGTATCCCAAACCCTAGGCACAAAAATAGCAGAAAACAATGTCCCCTAAACCTAGAAAGCAATTCACTAGCAAATAAACCAAGAAATTAGCTTAGGGACACATTGCTTCTTTCATTATATAATCAATGCCTGTGCTGTTCTCATTATATTACACCACAGTTTGCTCTTTTCCTTATTTTTGTCCAGATTACTAACCATTGCCTCCATAGTCGGTACTTTCCATGAGCCCTTTCGGCTCAGCCAGTCCTCAAATCTCTACCTTTCTCTGTTCAATCAACCAGTACCACCACCCCTCACTCAGAAGTGAACAGTTCCCATTGTGACATAAAGTATTCCTGTCTTGTGGTCTGGCAGGATGGGTAATATTAAGCTTGGAAATGAATGAATGTTTCTCAGAGTTTCCCAACCTCTAAGCTTCTAACGTTTCTCTCTTGCAGAAAATCCATACAAGACATCTAAAACCCTAACCTCTCACCTGGGACACTATTCTCACTGAGGGCTGTACAGGAACAAATCCTTGACAAGTAAACTTATTTACAAACAATAACCTTTGGCTTTTTTTCTACTCCATTCCTCTACCCTTGATTGTCCTTGTAACCCGCAATATTGTCCCCATCCTACAGTGTACATAAGCGTCCAATGCTTCCTTCCCCATCTCATACTTTAGAACAGATAGCTAGTCTCATGGCCTTCACAGAATAGAAGTTTATTTCTCACAAGCCATTTTAACATGGGTAATTGGCAAGCAACCCTCTCATTCAGTTTTTTCAGAGGGCAGGTAGGTAGTAAGTTGGTTTCTCACAGGATGTGGGTAAACAATTCCGAAACTACTTTACATGTGTACAAAATTGAAACAATAAGTGAACAACTAGACGATGATAGGAGCCAGGTTTCTAACTGTCATGGAAAAGAAGTTAGAAATAAGCAAAGGGAGAATGCTGATATGAACTCTGGGGCCCTGGGTTAGAGTCAGAGACATCAATATGAACTTGAGTTTAGCTTCATCTATATACAGAGAAGCGGATGCAGAAATATAGACACATCTGTGTACATGGGTTAGTTCTACATACCTCTATTTTCTAGCTATACCAGAAATGGCCCAGGAAGCGGTGACATGACAGTAGCAATAAGCACACCAAGAGCCCAGATCTTGGTTTCTAAATACCATGTTTCAATTAATGAGCCAACGTTTCTTAGAGAAATGGCTGATTCTGGTACTGGGCTTGGAAAATACGAGATGAGACTGGGGCATCCTTTAAGATCAGAAAGTAAGGAAATGCTCAAAATTCAATTTCATGGGGAAAGAAGGACTGACATGAAAGAGCTCCCAGTGGCCAAAGCTGAGAACAATTTGAGCTTGAAATTGGTACTGCTGGTCTATTAAAATAAAATGTTATAAAGACAGCAGAAAAATAGCAGATAGCTTCAGTGTAAAACTACTATTAAAGAAAACAACAGAAATTGAAGTATTTCTGTTGAAAAAAAATCCTCCCACCAAAATAACCTTGAGTCAGAAAAAAAAATTAATACAACACCACAACTTAATTAAATATCTGTAAACAAACATTTGAACATGTGAAAAATATCTTCAATCAGACATTTTAAAATAGCATTTAAGTAGGAAGAAAACAGGAAGGTATGAAGTAAGGGATTGATAAAACATAAAAACTTGAAGAAAGAGATAAAATTCATCTCAGAAGTAAAGATTATTACAAGATACTCGAGACAATATAAATTATAAGAGATATTGCGAAAAAGAATGAAAGAAACCAAAAGACCAAAAATAAAATGCAAAAAGTAAAAACAAGAGATGAAAAGATTAATAAAGAAGATGGGCAAAGAAAATCTAAATATATATAATTGAAGTTTTTTTTTTAAAGTAATGTTAAAAAATGCAATCCAAAAAACTTTCCATAAATAAAAGAAAATCTGAATCAACATGAAAAAGGATCATCATACACCCAGCAACGATGACCCAGAATCACCTTGAAAATGAATGTTTGGTGCCCTCTAACTGAGATTCCTACTTCTACCTCCTCACACCCTCTCACTAATGATTTCCAGGAAGTGAAATCCAGGAAGACCCAAGCTAAGACACTGGACACTACATTACTGATGGCTACACTCCTAAAGAATGTAATTTTAATGGTAGAATTTTAAACTTAGGAACAACTTCCTCTGGACAGAATCTTCCTTGAGTCCTGCATGTCCTGCCTATTCTTATTTTATTTGGGGCCCGTGTGTCTTTCTTGATGGTCGATAATACACTCAGCACCAAAATTCACCCCTTGCATTCCAGATAACTTTCTGTAGCTTCTTAATTAGGCATTCTAGGTTTGTTACAACACAGATAGTTACCAGATGTCAGGTGGGACACACTTTGCTGGTGAAGACATCAGTATGAACCCATGTGAGCATTGGGGGCAGCCAAAGAATTGAAAAAAGGCAAAAATTGACTGACATGACAATGTACAAAATAGGAGGATATTTCTGGAGTCCTCCCATCTGCATTGACACAGAGAGGGAGCAGGTCTGTAACATGAGAACAAATAATACAAAAGCCATGGCAACTATAAAGCTGTTTTGTCACAAACTGACCAGCTCTAATTGAAATCAGTGTGATGGAGTGGCAATGATAATCTGAGGGATAACAAGTGATCAAAGTCTCTTCAGAGAGCCAAGGAGATAACTTAGTCCTGGGGTAAGAGAGTGAAGGTATATTGCTGAGTTGATACGTATGAGAAAGCTACTTCTGATTATCTTGATCAACAGGAATAGAAAGGATGAATTTGGTAGGAGTAGGTCTGGAGCATGAGAAGAGAAAAAATAATTCAAAAGCCATGGCAACCATGGGACTAAGTGTTTGGTCACAAACAGACCAGCCCTGATTGAAATCCTCTGCAGGCTGGGACTTGACATTTTCGAAACCCAGGTCATGGCAGAATTTACATTTGCTTCTTCCTCCACCTCCATGAGATTCAAGGTCTTCCAGGGGTCTTCGCTCCTTTACTCTACTTAATAGGGAGGCACACAGTTGTGCCAATAAAGACAGAACATGCAATGATGTCCAGGCGCGCATTCCTCCCAGCATTCGAGGTGTAGCCTCTGAGTTCTAGGGGGCTGGGTGGAGTTTGGGCTGGGTCCAGAGAGCTCTCTGGAACACAGGTCAGTACACCAGTTATCTCAAGAGAGAAGAACAACTGTTTCCAGAATAACCCATGGTCCATGGTGTTCATGCCGGGGGCGAGGAACAGGTCAGCCTGGCACCCATAGTGTACCCACGTGGTAGGGAGCACTGAACTTGGGGCCGTGGGAGGCCATTCCCTATGTGGGCCCTGGCAGATAGCTCTGCCTCTCTTAATCGTCTTTCTTGGGGTGTCTGGGGCGTGGCCAAGCACTGGGAAGATGCGTGGATATTGAGGCATCTGAGGAAGCACCAAACAAGAACTCCTGTGGAGCACAGCCTTACCACCTACCTGCCTCTGATGAGGTCTGTGCTGGTGGTCGGTCATGATGTCTTTCCTAAGTCCCCCCTGTCCAAGGGCAGCTCTGATAGAGGTGGAGAAGATACTCCTACACCAGGAGCCCTGTCGTGCTTCTGAGGTGGGTCAGAGGCTCTGGCCTGATGGAGGCAGATTCCCTCCTCTGACGTCTCCTTCATTGCTGCCCAGCAGGAAACACAGGACTGGAGCAGAACACTGCACACGTGCCTCCAGCAGGGCCTGCCTGCCTGAGTTCTTCAACCTGACTCCACGGCCCGATTGGCCACACATGACTTAGTCCCTGGATCTAGCCCCAGGACCATTTCAGAGGAGTCGCGATTGCACAGAGTAGTGGGGGGCCTGCATCCAGTGGTTAACTCTCACTGGCTCACCATGAGACCGT